TATATAAGGCATGGTCCTACAACCTAATCACCTTGTCAAGGCTCCCACCTTTCAATTACCATAATAGGATTTCCCATCCTCTTAACAATGTCACAGTGGGGCTCATGTTTTGGGAGGACACTCAATCCAAGGCAACAGTAAAACACTAGTGCAGGTGAACAGACAACCAAGAATTCCTGACTTCTAACCTGTATCAACAGTAAGTGAATACACCAAGATTTTTTATTTCACAAGTTAAAAGCTTACATGGTCAATGGCAATTTATTAATTTCACTTACAAGAAATATTTGTTGGTCTAGGGTTCCAGAACTCTCAGAACTTAAATTAACTAAGAAATTATAAATATCAATATTAAATTAATACAGTAATTTAATCTTATTCTAACCTCTGTTCATTTACTTTCCCTTATGTCCCTTCATCTTCAATACAAAGTATTAAGACTGAAATCATTCTGACCACAAGTATAGCACCACAAATTTGTCTTGTGTGGTTATACAAACCCTCATTTTCATAAGACACTAAAGAGGCTGAGAAATGTAAGAAACAAGGCCATCTCTCACCTTTAGTGTGACATCACAGAGTTCTCCATTTTCATAAAACTGAAGAAGAGAACTATGAAAGTCTTTCCAAGCTTCATTTGCTTCAAAGATGAAGGAATCTTCCCCATTACCATCACTAATCGAACATCTGTTCTTTATTTGCTGGTGCTGTTGTCTTTTTCCCTTTGTGAAGTGATTCTTAGTTGGTTTTCCATTCATAGATTCTGAAGCCATTTGCAATACTCTTCTTTAATATAGCTCTCTTCTCAAACATCCCATTTATTCTTTTTTAAAGGGTGGGGAGAAAGCAGAAGGTAGATGCAGCCACTAAACTTTAGACGTTTTTTAGAACCCACTCAACTGTTATTGTACAGTTTGTTGAGATTGCTAACAACAAAATACACATAAAGACAAACCAAAAGAAAAAAAACTATCATTAGTAACTATAATTTGCTAATATTATATATGCAAAATAACCACATCATTATTGAAAAAAGAATAACTGTAGTTTTTTTTTTTTTT